TACACCATCTCTGGCAGGGACAGCAACATCTGCACTGGTATGACTTATACCTTACGACTTACATACACATTCATTTGTTTTTATATAGGATGCTAACCGTGTGTGTGTGTTTTACTTTAGATATAGATGAATGTGAGCTGTTCCATAATGGCCAGGCGGGGAAACTGTGTTTACATGCTTGCGTTAACACCCCTGGAGGCTACCGCTGCACCTGTCCTGTTGGATATAATGTGACCCGTGATGGACGCAGCTGCAGAGGTGCACTCACATATTTCTTTTTCTGTTTTGTTATGCATTCACTTAAAATTTTTCTTATTCCCAACAAAGCAGTGTGACTGATTTCCCAGCTAACACTATTGATGTTTTCTGCCAGACATTGATGAGTGTGCCACCAGACAAAACAACTGCACAAAGGACCAGATGTGCATTAATACATATGGTGGTTTCCAGTGTGTCCTTGTGGATTGCCCCAAAATTCCTAATGCAACATATGTCAAGACGTCGTCTATGTGAGTATTGTCTTCTGCATTTTTTGCTTCTAATTCATCATAGAAAAGAGAGATTTTCTGTATGTCATGCACAGTAACAGGCAGATGTTTATTTTGCAGTACAACTTTAATTCCATTCTTCATTCTTCTCATGTCATCTATCTCACTTTTCACTTCTTCTTTCCAGGCGTTGTGAACGTAACCCCTGTCCTTTGGACAACAAGGCCTGTTCTCAGACCCCAAATTCCTTCTCCTACCATTACATGGCTGTCGCGTCCAACCTGTCAGCTCCTCGCGTCATGTTCAGGGTCTCAGCATTGCGTCCGATGGGTGACACGCTTCGCTTCTCCCTGCTGGGGGGGAGGTTAGCTCGGCGCCACTTCACAGTCCAGCGTTCAGACCGTCTGACAGGTCAGCTGATGCTGGTGAGCCCCATACAGGGGCCTGCCACTCTGGAAGCAGAGGTGGAGATGAGTGAGCTAGAGAGACGTGTGCAGCTGGGGAAGTACATCACCAAAATCACCATGTTTGTTTCCCAATATGAGTTCTAGAAATAGAAAGTGAGAACACTCTTAGAGCACAAAAGACAAACTAGAGTCTGGTTTGGATTTATCTAAGGAGGGAATTTGGTCATTGATGTGTGATGATATGGTGACCATCTTTAAAATCCCCTGTACAGTTGGTGAAGGAGCTGCCACAGCCAGGTAGTAAAAGTGGTGGCAGAACAAGGTGTGTTGCACCGCTGCGTGTGATAAATGTTTGAGTGTTTCTTTTTCAGAGGCGCTGCTCTGCAGCTACAGACAGGAATGCAAATGACTGATGAGTGACTTCAGTATAAGAACATGAGTTTTGTTTGGAATAACTAAAACAAATTTAATGCACAAAGACAGAAATGAGTGTAGGAGATATAAAGGATGAATGATGTAGACAGTAAACAAGCACTAAATTGAAGGACACATATAAACTGAAAGAAAGTGATGATTTTTAATGACAGTCTGACAATGTTTACATATATGCGATGTATATTGGACACGTAATCATGATATGTGATAACTATGTAATCCTTTCTGTTACCATGTTTTATTCTGGTTATATTGCAGTTCACCAACACAACCATTAAAGCACCATGTAAACCATAAAGAGTTTGGTCTCTTCTACTTCTGCAAATATGTTGTAAAAGCCGTCAGATTAATATAAGTATATATGTATACATATATCTAACACTTATACTAACCCTGAGCTTTTTTTTACACACACATATATGTTTATACAGTAATAGTACAGTGTGTGAGCAGTGGTTGTTTGAGAAACACACAGTTCTTGCAGTACAGAGCAGTGCTGTTCAGCAGACAGGCAGCCAAAAACAAGCTGCTGAAAAGAGCCACTGTGTTCCCACTGTGCCTGAATGAACTTTAACTTTTAAATCTGCAAGTACACATTGAAAAATGCATGAGCATGTCTCGTGTGCACTGCAAGTTGTGTATGTGTGATCATTTTCCTGTCAAAAGGACGGGTGTACTTGGAGAAATTGTGACGTTGTGATAAAATGTGCCGCACCAGCCATTTATCTTCTCCACTGAGTTATGCCACATTTTGAAAATGAGGCCACACAGAAGTGCATCTGTGGACAAAGTGTAGGTTGACTTGAAACAAACAAGGTGTATTCAGTTGCAGAGGAGGCTTCAACCCAGATGACATGACTGAGAGGGCGGGGGGGGGGGGCTTTTGCCACAGGATCCTGAAACGAGTCTGTGCGCTGAGTGAAGAAAAAAGATGCATGGTGATAGCGAGGCAGACAGAGAGCGATGGTTGAATAGAGATGGTTGAATAGATGATTCAAGGGAGGCTGGTTGAGGGTGTGGGCTGAATTAAACTGTCTTTTATTACCCCTGCACACAGAATGTTCTGGACTCAGTCTTGTCTTAGTCTCTGTCCCTGATGGGAAATGAAGAGTTCAGTCAGAATCCATCCATGTTCCTCAGGGATCCCACAAGAGGTGGTCATTCAGTATGAAAAGCTCAGCTGGATTTGCCTGTGTGAGAGCACCTGATCTGAAGTCTGATGTTTTGTCTGCTCTGTCTGCCTCACTGTCCTCTCTTTTCCCCCCTTCTTCTATGTTATCATATTACATCCACTTTCACATCCCTCTCCTTCAACTCCACAGTCGTGTTTCTTTAGCTCTCAGTGTGGCTGAGTCACACTTTGCAGATAAAACCCCCTGGTAATGAGCGCTGGCAGTGTGTGTGGGACTGAAATCAATATCCTAATCTCAGTCTACTTGTGCTGGGTAGTCATAAGAAACCATCACACTCCCTTTGACTGCAGCTTGGGTTATCAGTGGTACTTGCATTTGAAAGGAAATACCTCGGCCTCATCTGAAGTTTAATAGAACAAAGGAGAGTGGGACTGGTGCTGCTGAGGCTCCACATGGAGCCGACAGGACTCTTCTGTCAGATTGGCTCAGGGCCTTTCAGTATGGTGAGGGTAGAAGGGAGGGAGTGGACATGGTGGAGGCGTCCATATGTGTTGTGTTGAGGGAAGCATAAAAACTAACCTTGACTTAACTTACAGGTTGTATACATGATATTTACCGCCAGCATTAGATGTCAAACTAGAACCAGTATCTGGAACCAAAACCAAACAAGGGTTTCGTCTGCCACACCAATAATCCCTCTCCTTTAGTATTCTCAGGAAGGTGTGGTCGGTACAGTCTATGGATGTTGAAGCCCAAGTGGCCTCTAAACACACAACTAAAGGTGTAGTAGTTAAAAAACTAAAATGACCAACAAAATAGCCAAACAAATAAGAATCCAGCAATAGCAGACTGGTAAGTGGATCATTCAAGTCTCCTCCATTGGTTGGAGCTCCTGTCAGTGTTGTAGCCTCCAGGTGAGACGCTTCAGCTTTCAAATGTGGGTTTTTAAAACTAACAGTACATAAACTGTCCAGAGATTTTCCAGGGCTTGCCTTCCACATATGAAGAACGGGAGATTATGCAGATCAGATACATTCACAGCAAGAGACGGTCCAGACCATTCAGGCGAGGGGTCAGATGGCATCTGAGGTGACCTAAAAATTCAAATTTGTTTACAGCACATCCAAAACTAAACTAGCCCTTATTGTCAAAAGGTCTTGAATCTCATTGTCTTTCCAAGCTGACAACTTTTAACAGGCTTGTTAAAATGATCGTTAACCTAAACCAGCTAACAAAACAAAGAACAGAGAAGGTGGGATGCCATTACTCTACTGCTGTTCGCTGCTATATTAATATCATAAATCTCATATAAATTACCTTTAAGTAAGATTAAAGTCAAAGCGGCTGAATATGTGGTTTCGTTGCCTCTGCTGTTTGTTCAATCTCTGTCATTTGCTTTTAAATTGCAGTCATTTTATTGCTGTGCCAGAGTGTTGTCGCTGCAAACCTGCAAATGTTTCATGGACTGTAGAGAGATGTGTTGCTGTGCATTATCAAACTATGATGTTACACTGCCCCCTGTTGATCATTGAGGAGACATGCTTCATACACAATGTCGGCTAACCCTGAAGCCATAACCTGTGATTTTACAGCTGCTGCAATACTTTCAAACAGAGTGGTTTCATCACTGTGGAAATGTAGATGAGACTGGTGACAAGGGTCAAAGACTCATCATGAAATGACAAAGCATGTGTATCAACAATAGATTCCTACAGTCACATAGTCAGTAAAACCTCCCCTGAATTTGTTTATTTGAATTCTTTTCTTTATACTATTAGAAGTAGCTAACTCAGAGCATGCTTCTATCAGAATGCCTTTTGTGTATGTTTATTTTATTTCTGTCCTTTTATTGATTTGTTGTCTTGCTTATAGTGAAGCACTTTTTTAACAACTTCTTAACCAATGCTATATAAGCAAAGTTTTCTGTTATCACTATTATTAATGATAATAAACTTTTTTTGTATAGCTCGCTTCATACAAGAAATCCAGCTCGAAGTGCTTTGCATACAATCTAGATAAAAAAAATAATGTTTAACATGTTTATATATTGTTATTATCATATTTTTGAGTCTCATTATGACTTTTAGCCAGGTATAGACAGTACAGTCTAATTTTACAAAGAAAGATCTATCAAATTATTTTTAATGAAACAAATATCAGTAAAATAGCATAAAAACAAAACTATTTAAAGTAATAGTAAATTAATGAATAAAATATCAAAATATGATAAATAATAATATGTGAATAACTTTAATCCAGGGTCACAGGTAATAAGTCTAAATTTAAAGAAATGTGTGTTCACTTTTTTCATTTCTGGTCAATGTCTCCGTGCAGATTAAATTCATCCTAAAATGTATTTGTATTGTTGGTTTATAGGTAAGTAACAGCAGGACCAATAAATGCAGAACATGAGGTGTTTTTCGATCAGAATTCAACCATTCAATGTTGCACAGAAGTGTTCAGATACTGTGATTCTCTGAGGAGCGATGTTTAAAAACCTCCTCATCCACGATGCTCCTCAGAGACCAAGCCCCAAACACAGCCCAAACTTTCGGACTCCTCCCTCCAGCTTCCCCCCTCAAGCTCCAGTCTCCTGAAGCCCCTCCAGCGTTCTGCTGGATCCATGGAGCTGCTGCTGCCTCGTACACAGTAAGATGTTTCCAACACGAACACCCGCTCTCCCGGTCAGTGGATCCAGATTGTCGGTGGCTCCTCCAGGGGACGGGGTCCAGCCTCATCCTCATGTTGTGGTTTGTTGTTCGGACTGCTGCCTGGCTAAGTGCTAACGTTAGCTTAGCCGAAGTTATCTGGGGAGACGTGCAGCCCGACGAGCAAGTGTGTGAACATGGGAAACTTCTCGCAGTAGAAGCTTTAGAAAAGTCGACACTTGTGTGTTTCTTTCTCTCATTGGTGAGTTTTTCCTCTGGTAAGAATCGGTTTGTGACGCGTCCATCTTTTTGTGGTTACTTTGGCACACAGTGGTGACGGTGGCTAGCTAACGTTACCCTGCTAACATGCTCTAAATAAGTTTACAGCAGCACGAACACATCGGTGTGTGGAGACAAAGTTAACCCACAGAACAGGAAGGTTCATCGCGTTGATCAATGTGCTGTCGCGGTCCTGATCATAGTCACAGTCGCAGTTTGTGTTATTTGTTTACAATGAGGACGAGTCCCGACTTTTAACCATTGTTATAAACTATAACGTAACTTTGTGAAGAGATCCCACTGACGGCATTTGATTCATTGTTGTAAAAGTCGTAGGGCGACATGTGCTGAAGTTATAGATAGTGAAGCAGGAGATCATCCAGGAGGTGAGAACTATCTTTACCGAGCATGGATCAGAGGTTGTTCTCTGCTGCTGTTAGAGGAGGAGCAGAGGTTCACCCAAAACATCCTGATGAGACCTCAATAAGGTTTGTGCCTCTTTGTGCCTAAGCATCAGATCAACTTGGTATGAATCGAGCAGTATCACTTTAACACTATTATAACACAAAAATAGTAGTGACTGGGTGTAACTATGACTCTATGAGCACACACTTGAGTATCCACAGCGCCATAGACTGTATATAAGCTCAGCACCCTAAAGCCCAATTCATGCTCCTGCGTTGAAGCTGCCTACGCGTAGACGTGTACCCTACACAGAACCCTACACTGTACCCTGACGTGCTCCTCCCCAAAAATTGAACTGCATCAAGGCAACGAAGACCACAAGAGCTGTGATTGATCTGCTTGATAGCATTGCATATCCAGTGGACGGTATTTTGGAAATCTCCTGTCTCGCCTCACTCGGTTTAATGGCCGCACAGACAATCTCCTCCGATCTTTCTTTTCTTCGTTGCAGAAAATCTATGGTGCATAGGTGGTGCTAGTCCTCAGAATACAACTCAGTGAATACACAAGATGCATCACCCACATCCAGGCCATGACAGAATTTAGTCCTTGAGAGTCAGAGAGCACATCAGCAACATACCACCTACCAATGTGCAATGTCTCTTTTTCTGTCTTGATATTGACATTTTTAACTCCTCGTTAAATGTTTTTTTATCTCCTGTAGTGGTCCAAAGATGAAAAATACATAGAAGAAAACAGAAGAGCTCCAACAGTGCAGCAGAGATGTCTCCTAAAGTGCCTGGTGGCCAAGGCAGAGGGGACTATTCTGCAGTGCAAGTAGCTGTTCGAGTGCGCCCCCTGCTGCCTAAAGAACTTCTACACTGCCATGAGAGCTGTATCACTGTGGACACTGAACTTTGTCGGGTCACCCTGGGCCATGACAGACACTTCCTTAGTGACTTCCTGTTTGAAGAATCCTGCTGTCAGGAGGAGGTTTATTCTGTGTCTGTCCAGCCACTCATCGATGCCTTCTTCCAAGGGTTCAATGCTACAGTGTTTGCCTATGGACAGACAGGCTCAGGCAAGACTTACACCATCGGAGAAGCTAATATTTGTAAGTTATTGAGCTCTTTTTTATCTTCTTACATTGTCTACTTCAAAGTATTTGGTTCCAATAGTGTTTTTCATTGTCGGTGTAAATGTGGGCTGACATTTTTTCTTTTCCTTCCTATTCAATGGTATTTTGCAAAGAGCACATCAATGTGACTTTTCCAGACCAGTTGCATGTAATTATGTATATTTTAATTGTGTTGTAGGTTCCTTTAGAGATGAGGTGCAGGGTATCATTCCAAGGGCTGTTGCAGATGTCTTTAAGCTGTTAGATGAAAATGACCTCACAGACTTCTCTGTCCGAGTCTCTTACCTGGAGGTCTACAAAGAGGAGTTTAAGGACTTACTGGAGGTAGAGACGGCCAGCAAGGACATCCACATCCGAGAGGATAAAGGCAACATTGGTATGGAATTCTAATTTTTTTCATTGTGCTGTTACATGTGTTATTTGTAGGAACATTTCTGTGGTTGTGAGAATTGTAAATGGTTGGTGTATGCATTTATTTACATTTTATATTTCTGTGTGCTTTTATAGTTTTGTGTGGCGTAAAAGAATGTGAAGTGGAGGGCCTTGATGAGGTTTTGAGTTTACTAGAGTCAGGAAACACTGCCCGGCACACTGGCGCAACCCAGATGAATCCAAACTCCAGCCGGTCGCACACTATTTTTACAGTGTACATGGAGCAACGTCGGGGGATTACACGCCTTTATGGTACCACTGCAACTTCTGGACCACAAATGTTGTCTTCCAAATTCCACTTTGTTGACCTGGCAGGGTCAGAGCGCATTTTAAGGACAGGGAACACTGGAGAGAGACTGAAGGAGAGCATCCAGATTAACAGTGGACTGCTGGCCCTGGGAAATGTTATTGGGGCGCTGGGGGACCCCAAGAGGAAAGGCTCTCACATACCATACAGAGATTCTAAAATCACAAGGTACATCTTTATTAAGTTGATCAGACACACGAGATAACAGAGCATAATAAAGAATTTGGTGTAAAATGTTAGTTTGGTTCAATTTATGAAATCATTGTTTCTTCTAGGATCCTAAAAGATTCTTTAGGAGGAAATTCAAAAACACTGATGATTGCCTGCATCAGCCCATCCTCCTCAGACTTTGATGAGAGTCTGAATACACTAAACTATGCCACGAGGGCAAGAAACATTCAGAACAAGGCCACTGTCAACTGCAAACGTGAGCCAGATCGTGTAGAAGGGCTGGAGCAACAAATCAAGGCCCTGCGCAGAGCCCTCGAAAACCGCCACCGCTCAGAGACCCGCATCATCGCTCACGCTGATCCAAACAGGAGGCCTCGACTCGGAGAGGGAGAGATCAGCAGAATGCAGGCCCAAAGTGCTCACTATAGGACCTGCACGGACACTGCTTACAGGTTAAAGTTCATTCATCAATCAAAATACATTTAGTTTGTTTTCATGTTGTTTAACTACTCTTGAAACATCTTCACAGAATATAATCATAGAATGTTAGTTTATATATATGCTGCATTTCTTCTCTTAACGTTCACTGGTAAAATACTGGACAAACTTAATAGTTTTTGGACAACAATGGATAATTGCAGCCCTCAGGAGAGTGTGGACATCACTCTACAATCTTCTGACGTGAGATGTATTTTTGCCTTTTCACAGCATTAAGAAGCGTTTAGTTCAAGTGCCTCTTACGTCCATTTTAATGTTGCTGATATATCACAGGTTACTGCGGGAGCTGCAAAGCGAAGGGGCTCTGACTGCAGAACAGAGTTTGAAGGTGAAGGAGTGGCTGTGCTCAGTGGAGGAGGAACAGAGCCGACTGACCACTGCTTCAGGACCAGACAGTGGTATCGAGAACAGCTCCACTGAGGAAAGTGTTGCACTGAGGAGGGGAAGGCCCACTGTCAGGAACCAGGTTAGTCTCCTAAACCCTCTCAAATATATAGATATTAGTTAGGATATTTCTTAGGAATTCATGGGTTCCTTACTGATGTCTTTTATAAATGTATTTGTTTATTAGCAGGATCCAGAGGCTCAAGAGGAGAGGTGGATCCATGAGCATGAGAAAGGTGGAGAGAATGAGGACAGTGTTCAGCTTCAGGCCCAGATTCAGCGGTTGGAGACAGAGAACACAGACTTTTTAGCTGCTCTGGAGGATGCTATGGAACAATACAAGCAGCAGGTCAAACACACTTTAATTCAAATGTATTTATCTTGTGCATCATTCATAGGAACCGTGGCTTAGTAACTGAACTGGACTATCATTAACTTTCTTGTGAGCAAATACCAAGTTAAATTAATAAAGTTAATGGCTTCTTTAAAGATTTGGTCGAGGACTACAGATACGCAAATTACCTCACTCATGCTGTTCCTGTCCTAACATGGTATTATACAGATATTCTCCCTGATGGAAAACTGTCATAACCCTCTTTTCTTTTTTTAGCTTTTGATTATCTGTTAACTTGTGATTGTTTTCCTTTTGTCTCAGAGTGATAAACTGCAGGAGCAGCAGGACTTGATCGCAGAGCTGCAGTGTCAGCTGTCCACTCCAGGGCTGGTGGGCCTAGGCCTTAACTTGAGATCCCGGCCACACACTGCCCCCATTGCCTCCATGCATCAAAGTCAGAATGGAGTCACATTCAGACAGGTAACCAACCAGTAGAGCTAGATTTTCAGCTTTTTTGAAGTGTGTCAATCCAAGAAAAAAAATGTTTTCTTGTTGTAAGAAATGTATGTGCATGTTTAGATTGGGAGATACATTTATACTGAAGTTGCTACTAGATCTTCATCAAAAAAGACCCACACACTGACAAGCTATGACTGGAAAATTGTCTTATATCATTTTGTACAGATCCAAACTATTTTTACACAGTTTACAGAGTATATCATAGCTAACACTGCTTCTTTGTCAATCTGTGGGTGTATGTGTGTGGTGGCAGATGAGTCCAGTGGGCTATGTTGGTAATGGGCCTGGTGGTGATCAGGATGGTAACCTCTTTGAGGAGCTGGGGATTCAAGGAGGAGCAGAAATGTCAGACACAGAAGAAGAGAGCAATGTTCTCAACCTCAGCCAGGAGAGACGCAAGTATGTTTCATTTATAGAAATCACAACTTACAGATGATTCAGGGGCAGTGTGCCATGTTTAAAATGCCTATGATGTAATGCTAGTGATTTTCTCAGGCATGTGAATCCAACCTGGACCAAAAGGGACGTGTTGTTTGGAGGACTAACAGCTGGTGGTAAAGGTCCATCCTCTCAGCTGCCTCAGCTCTACCAGCACATGTATTTAACCAGAAAAGCATGTAAGTGTAGAACTGTCTGTTGTGCCTGTCTTTCAATTACTGCCACGAAGCCTCGTCAGCTTCCTCGTTACACCTCCCGACTGAACTATTGTGCACTCTTTCACTGTGTAGCCAACTCCAGTTCTGGGGACACATCGGCCCGTGAGAGTTTGAAAAGTTTTGAAGGCGTTTCAGAGTGGGGGCTCCTTCAGGCACAGCAGAAGATCCGCGAGCTGTCTGTCACCATCCGCATGAAGGAAGAACTCATCAAGGAGCTGGTCAAAACAGGTATCCCTTTGCATTATCCTTTATTAACTGAACCTTTTCCAAATAAAGCTCCCTGTCTCTGTTTCTTTGAGTCATTTCTTTATATTTGTGGTTTTTAGGTAAGGATGCTCAGGCCCTGAACAGGCAGTACAGCCATAAGATCACAGCTCTGGAGAGTGAAGCTGTGCAGGCTCGACAGGAGATGCAGGAGGCGCAGCGGCAGCTGCAGGATCTAGAGAGACAAGAGCGAGAGATCAGCGTGACGGACAACACAAGAGCACAGGAATGTCGCAGGAAGATAGCTGCCGCTCAGAGCAAAGTTCAGGTTTGACTGTCAAACCTATTAATGCTTAATAACACACCAGCAACATGTTGAATTGATTCAAATAGTTCTGTGCTGCAAAGATACTATTTCAAACCCAGGTTATTGCTTGATGACTAATCACTTGATATATGATTAACCCTAATGCACTTGAACATTTTTATGGTGGTGCTGTAGGTTCTAAGTCAACGTCAACGGGATACTGCTCGTCTAGCTAACCTGCCTGCACAGAACGAACGTCGCGTGTTGGAGCTGGAGCGCAGTGTCCAGTCTATGAGGCAGCAGCAGGAGCAGCTACAGAAGCGGCTGCGTCAGGAAAGTCAGCAGAAACGACGTCTAGAGACCGAGATGCAACGAAGAACTCACAGAGTCAAGGTAGCACTTAGGAGAGCACACTGACAGAGCACCATCAGTACATGTTATTAATGATCAGACAAACGCTGTTAGTGTAAAGTCTCATTTAAGAAATGTATATCATCACCCAATGCTTCAGTTTGAGCAGAGAATCAATCCTTGTTATACTAATGTAGCTGTTAATTTGATGGGAAATGTATTAGAGGAGAGGGGACAGATGTAATCCCATGTGGCTTCAACATAAATTCATAGCTGAATTTACAGAGAGTTTTCTTAGAAGCATTGATTACTAAGCTGCTCTCAGTTTATAAGAAATAACTTCCTGTCAGAGTTTAACATAAATACTGTATCTCGGTACATTAGTGCCAAAAGCATTTATTTACTTTCTGTAGAAGGAGTTTTCCTTTCATCTTCATAGTACTGTAATTCATTTTATCTTCTCCCCTGCCTTCACTGCAGGAACTCGAGATAAAGAACGAGCAGCAACAGAAGATCCTGAGGATAAAAACAGAAGAGATTGCCGCCTTTCAGAGGCAGAGACGTAGTGGAAGCAACGGCTCAGTCATCTCATTGGAAGAACAACAGGTGCAACACATTTTTTTATTTAAAATACTGCAGCGTTTCCCGTTCCCCTTTACACTGCAAATACAGTCTATGGTCAGTAGAAGTATTCTAGAAGCTAAATGTATTTTCACTTCCTGACTTTTTCCTGTGTGCTTTACTACCAATGAGCAGAAGATTGAAGAACAAAAACGCTGGCTTGATGAGGAAATGGAGCGGGTTCTGGAACAGAGAAGAGGACTAGAAGATTTGGAAGGAGAGCTGACGAAACGAGAGACGATCCTGGCGAAGAAGGAAGCCCTGCTGCAGGAGCGCAGCGGACTGGAGACCAAGCGGCTCCGCTCCAGTCAGGTATCAATCAACCCAAACCACTCACACGAGCAATCATAGGAAGATGGCAAAATGGTGAATGTTTGTTTTCATCCTCTCACCAGGCCCTGAGTAAGGACCTGGTGACGCTTACAGGGCGAATTGAGTCCCTTGAGAGAGAGTTGAGTGAGAGGAACGGCCTCCTTCGCAGCAGCAGTGCTCAAGACTCCGAACAGATCCGCCAAGAGATCTCCAACCTCCGTCAAGAGAAAGATTCGCTGCTTAAACAGCGAGTTGAGCTGGACGATAAGCTGCGGCAGGGGAACCTGCTCTCCCCTGAGGTCAGATATTACTGGAGATCAAGCATTTTAGTGTGTTAATGCTGAGACTGAGATAAAGATAAAATACTTAATAAAAAGATAATGCTGTTGTATTGAGTACTCACATAGCAATTATGGTTATTCTGACTGGCAAGACTGTGGCACTGATTAGTCCTTACTGCAAACTCTAATATTACCTGTCTGTTCACGTTATCATGAAGATTGTGTCTAATCTTTCAGGAGGAGCGAACGCTTTTCCAGTTGGACGAGGCAATAGAGGCTCTGGACGCAGCCATCGAGTACAAGAATGAGGCCATCACTCAAAGACAGAGGCAGCTGAGGGCTTCTGCCAGTATGCTCTCCCAGTGGGAGATGAACCTCATGGCCAAACTCAGCTATCTGTCTGGCTCTGAGACCAGAGCCCTGCTGTGCAAGTACTTTGACAAGGTCTGAACTTCTGTGTTACATTCAACTTTTCTTTTACTGTCTTCAATCATCTCAGTCATCCAAAATGCAGCCTTCTACTTTGCTAGACAAGTTTTTTGCTGGTTACATTAAATTAATGTCATTTAGATTTGAATAGTAGTAAAGAGTTTGCCTTTTATATACGCAGAACGCAGGATTGTCAGATGTGTTCACAATAACAGGGAAATGTCCAGAACATTCAGGGAACAGGCTTGTGTCTGCATAGAGCACACAGGAGTCAGGACTTGATGTATAAATAATGGGTCAGAAAGCAGTTGCTGCACATCAACACCATTTCCACATGGCCCACTCATTGATGTTCTGGATATTTCACTAGGGGGCTGCCAGGAAAAGTTGTGGAAAATGTCTGGAGCAATTGACTCGGACATTTGCATTCTCATGTTGATGTGGATGTTTAATGCAGGTGGTGTCTCTGCGTGAGGAAGAGCGAAAGCTGCAGCTAGCACTGGCTGAGCTGGAAATGCAACTGGACGAGCAGCAGAGACTGGTGCAGTGGCTGGAGAACGCCCTCGATCGCACACAACTCGACACCGATCGCCGACTCACACAACAGCAGAAGGAACACGAGAGGAGTGTGCAGCTCTTACTGCAGCAGTGTCGAGGTGCATGGATATTAACAAATATTTGAGAACAGATTTAAATTCTTTCCGTACTCAGCTGTTGCTGAACTGATTATTAGTAGTACTAGTGTGACTTAATGTTCGTATTCTCTGACCCTGACAGAGCAAATGGACGAGGGTTTGGCAGGAAGGCAGCGACAGTACGAGGGATGGATCCATAACCTCAGCAAGGAGCTTAACCACTTCAAGGCAGCTAATGTGGAACTAAGCAACAAGCTGAGGGAGCTCTGTGGTTCAGCCAGCCAGCCTAAGGAGCATGCTAAAGGTAAATATATGTAAATGTTGAATCAAAGTGTTTGCTTGTACACGTTCAGCTGTGGCTCAGGAGGTAGAATGGGTTATCCGCTTAACAGAAAGTCGGTGGTTTGACCCCAAGCTCCTCCAGTCCACATGCCAAAGTGTCTTTATGTCCCAGATTCTGATTAGGTCAGGAAATCAAATAAGTGACACACAAGTATAGATATTCTGACATCCTCTTTACTGTTTTACCGTTGGATCTCTGTCATCACATCTGTTTTGCTGAGTAAGCTGCTGAGTTGCCTTGTCTCTCATCAGATGGTAAAGCAGCAAGTGTCTGCAGCATGGAGAAGCTGACTCACTGCCCTGAGGACAGCCCAGGAGTCAGAAACGTGGGGCAGCCTGACAAAACTCCCAGGTCTAGGGAAGAAATGCGTGAGCTGGTAAACACCCCGCTCCCATCCACATGGAGGCGCTCTTCCCTCCCTATAGAGGAACCTGCTGTCATGGAGGAACTGTGGATTCAAGCGGCTGGGGACGTCCCTGTTAACCGTGTAGTTCAAACTGGCATGGGGCCCTGGGTCGGGCAGACATCCCTGCCTGTGGTTAAATCTCGCCGAGAGTCACGTCGCTCCAGTCTCAACATCGGACCACTGAACACAAACAATTCATTAATCGACGTACGGAAGAACCCTGTCTGAATTTTAGTGAAATGTTACTTTTACGACCAATCACCTAGATTTTGTTATGTGGTTTCAGAAATATTGTTTTATCCACTTTTAGTCTTTGTATTACAATTTTTGTTCTTGTATATAAAGTTTTATATTAAAACAGAAATCCACTGATTTTTACATGAAGCACTTTCACTAAGGTCAAGTTTAAGTTTCCGTTTCATACCGTCATTTGTATGTTTAAGGTCTTAGCAACCATGAAAGTCAATAAGACGTGAATTGATTACATTATTACGATTTGAGGTTTTCTTTTTTTTCTAATAAGTAAGCGTCTTTTGACTTTTAAAATATTTTATATTAAACTGTTTTTGCCTTCCACCCTCATCTGGCTTGTGTTTTCAGTGGCAGACTAAAAAACTCCAGGTAAAGTAATGCACAACATTTTATCTCACACCACTAGAAATTAAAGCACAGAGAAAATAAAGGAATTAATCATTTAAATCTATTTCAGTAATACACTGTAACAAAGAAGGGTAAACATTGGAATCCTTTGCATCGGGTGATTTAACATGAGAGACATGAGGCAAAGATGCTGTCAAATATTGCAATTTACATCATAAATGTTGTAACCAACACACAGATATGATACACATGAGAATATTATTCACCAGGATGCCCATCCATTAAAGTCCATACATTTACTAAGAAATAATAGGGGAAAAAATGATAAGATATTTCTGAGTGCCCCTCTAGTCTTACAATACATCATAAAAAACCAGGGCGTTAAAATCAGAATAGGAGACACAAACAACTAATCAATACGACATACGTAACAGTAGAACGGTTAAAATGTGAAACTAAGGCCAACAATCCAGTGGCAGTTGTTTGTACACCTTTGACTGCATTTTGAAAAAGACCAATGATGTTGTCATACAAGTTCAAACACTGTATCAAAGGAATCCTGAGCTCCATGATGAAGGAAATCAAGGGCCAGGGAGGTAGTTAGGCCATATGAGCACTAGAGGGGGGTATAGCCTCAGTTTTTCTCATGAGTTGAATCTTGAAATTTTGTGTGAAATTGATTCTCATTTAAAACACAAAAGTGTAATGATAAATCCAACTTCAGTCCTTCACATCATTTTAGCTCTAGAACAGGCCTGGGGACAGTTGCTTGGAGTACAGAGAGAATCAGATTATTCATACTGTTAATAAAAAACAGCCTGAAATCCTCAGAGAGCCATGATACCACTTGGCTGTGATGGAAGAGCTGGAACAGCCCTATAAAGCAATTCATCCTGAGAGATTCTGTATCGTTAGCTGGACACAAAACAAACAAGAAAGAGCTGACTGCTTCATGTTGTCCAGAACATAAAACAACCTATCGAAATTGAAGTAAAGCTTCGTATAGATCCAAGCTGCACGTTCCTGCTTAGACGAGCTGAAATAATTGCCCCTAAATTTTAAGGGTATAGACTCTTGGTGAGGATAAATTTGTATTGAGTCTAAATTTAAAGAGAAACCATCAGAGAACTGAAATTCATTATTGAGACTCAGTGAAGCAGATATAAACCAAGAGGGTTTGCTTTATTCTAAGTATAATCATTTGGATGGTGTATAAACTTCACCAAGGAAACTGTTCTCTTGTGGCTCTCTTAAATAACTGTAGAGGTTTTGATCACTAGTGGTGCTGCTGAGCAAAGTCTTAATGAGAGCTTCCATACTGTGTCTATCTTGTTTCCTGCCAGCACAGATGTGATCACACACATCTCTGGCAGTGAGCTACAAATACATATTAACAGCTGGACTCTATAATGTGCAGTAAGATGTAGGAAGTGCACCAATTAAATAGGAGAACAGAGTGTAAATACAGGTTGTCTTTGCTGATGTGTGGGAAATCAAGGACCCTCTTAATTTCTACACCATGGTTACAAACCCCCTAATGAGGCCCCATGTTATAGCCTCCTGTGAAAATGAAATATGTAGTTTTAGACTTTTGGTTGAAGACTAGAATGACTAAATGCATAAAGCTGTTTTCAGACATGCACTGAACTCAGGATAATATCCTGCAATTTTCCGGAGGGGCTGTGTGTGAGAATGCAAATGTCCAAGTGAGTTGCAGTGGACCTTCTCTGGAGATTTTCCTGCCACTGGAAAACAAACAAACAATGTCTGAGTGAGCTCATGTGAAAGTTCAGCAGGAGCAAAGTTCTGCAGAATTCATGATGAGTAATTTGAGACGTTCATGACATTTCTAGCATTCAACTGATGCAAAACTGAGGTTGAAGAAGAGGTGCAACACACGTATAAGGCGATGAAGATTCCAACTTTGTTTTAGTGTCAACATGCTTTAGTGCTGCCCCTCACCTGAACACTCTGGAGATGTTGCTCTTGTTGTAAACACATCTGACTTAGAACATCTCCTGCTGAGTTCCTCATACACGAAAGGGAAACTCTGGAAAAGGTCCAGTTTTCCAGACATTTTCCAGAGTTCATGTCAGAAAACAGTTTATGCTGTGCCCCAATGGAGGTTTTGCACCTAAACTGAACTGTTATTCATGTGAGTGTTTGTGACTTTTATTTTGATGACTGGTTTGGTTCCCCCAAAGTTCCTTAAGACACAAAGGAAAAGTTGGCTGTTAAATATCCAACATGTTTACTCGTCCTCAAGATGAATCTGTGCATTTCTCTCTGGAATGGTTTCTTTCTTTGTGCTACCACTGAGGGGCACTAAAGTGAGATATACTCACCCTCTCTGTAGAGGTTGTGAACATTGGGTTAACAGATTAAAAACTCATCTATTACCACTTTGTTAAGAGGTAAAAGAGAAGAGGGGG